CGGTTGAGAGGATATCCAACCCAAAGTTTGCTTGAACAATCATTGTAAGCACGAGTCGGTCGTTATACCTAATGGTGTATACGCTGTAGACTCCTGCGGGGAACCTCCGAATTCCATCCCGTCTGTCCCGTCCAGTGGGGCAGACGGACAAAAAAAATTTACGGGTGTGGGCTTATGGGCCTGGAGCTAGAAAAAAATTTCACTGGCTCGGGACAAGTTGCAGAAAAATGTTGTTTCGTTAATTTTTGTCTTTTGATTGTAACTATACTGCAACTTCAGTGTTTAATTCTTGTAATACTTTCAAGTCAAGACTTTAATACCAGTAGGCGCCGACTTTTGAATAATTTCATGTTAATTGCAGCTAATTCTAGAATTTTATTCTACAAAACTTAATATTTCGACCATTCACGGTCAGTGTCAAAAATGGAAATGTACACACAAGACGTATAACGGTACTGAACGATCTGAACCATTTAGTATCGGTTCTTGTGATCTTATCAAGAGTGATTCTTTTATTAACAATTTGTATTTGTGTTGTTCACTAGTGAGAATTTCAAAGTTATTTGTTATAGTCAAATGTCCAGCCGCATGATAATGTCTACCAGCGGCCGACTTGACCAGTACAGTTTGTTTAGGATTACCTTTTATTAATGTTTGGGTAACGAGTGACTCATCATCATTTAACTTTTCCATCGCAGGGGGGAAGTTTACCTGTTCTTGAACGTATGAGAATTCTAAAATGTAGAAATGACAATTTTTTTGTGTGTACATTTTCACTTTTAATAATTATTTGATTTTGTCTGTCATTCCGTGCTAATGTGGCAACACAACGGTCGCAGAATACTGAATAGAGGAGTCAGACGGATTATCTGGTTGATCAGGTCGTCTTCCTATTTGCTGATGTTTAATACGAGTCCTAATTTTAGTAAGAGTATGCATAGGATAGTGACCTTTTAGCAGAATGCGCTCCAAATTGTTTATGTCATAATTGTTCGCTACCAGAATGCGTTCAGACATATCGTTAACAACGTTCATTTTGATTGTCGAGCAATGATTCGATTCATCATAGAGAAGTCTATCCGTAGCTGTGGGCTTTCGAAACCAAGATGTTTTCATTACTCGAAATCATCACCGTTACATAGAGAATTATTATATATTGAGAATGAAATACGCAACACTACGATTAACATCAAACATCTGCATCAACTGATGTTCTACTATGGATGCTGATATTAAATACTATATTCCAGATTTTAAATTTAAACTACGCAATAATTGAATAAAGCTTATCAATAATAATAACACGCAAGAATTGAATAAATCCAATGCCAAGCAAATACCACGAATTGTTCAAAAAAACCTGCCTCAGGTTATCTTTTTGAGAGTTGTTAATCGGTCTACTTGTAATCTAGAAGAACTACAGCTATTGGAGAGAGGTCTGCAGGATCGTCCCAGTCCCGGTTCCGTGGGACTTTTTACGGGACCGGGACCCAGAGACCTGCAGGATGCTCCCGGTTCCGCAGGACTTTTAGTACGACCGGGACCAGTTTTTTTGAAAATAGTCTTGTATGGAGCTTAAAAATTTCTTAGTTTCTGTGCTTATTTGTATGTAGACACCAGTTCTGCAAGAAAGAACTCATAGAAAATTCTAAAAGTCTTCAATTAATACCACCCACGCATGCTGTTCTACGAACCACATTACAACACACTGACTTTCAGACTATCAGTGCTACTTTGAAAAAACATGCACAGGACCACGGGACCGGCACCAAAAAGGTTTGGTCCCGCAGGCCTCTACTACTGGAGCGTGGCCTAGTTCATACTTAAAATGATTGTTCAAGGAAACCTTGAGTTGAGTATTCCATCAACTGTCACGTAATACCAGACTGATCTCATCATACACTGACTGTTGAATCAAAAACCTTTCTCGAAACTTTACATTCATACCTTCGTTATTACTATAAAACAACATACAAAAATGCTGATCCATGACAAAAATAAGCAGAGTTAATTGATAGATGCAAGACATAGTTATACGTAAAATTTTTGCACTATGTTTGACTAATCTATCATAGTTAAGATGAAAATTTAAATTTCTGTAGAGAAATTTCTCCCACAGCATTATCCAAGAAAAATACTTCTGGATTGTTGTAGATAAAATGTGTAATCACTACTATCAATGAATTGATTAACAAAATAGCAGACGATCAGAAAAGACGTGAACTAACTGACGATACAGCTATACCAATCAATGTATTTAATCCAAGACAAGAGATACAGAAAAATCTTTCAACTGAAAATGGTAACTTTATGTGGTTTCAATTATTTGTTGAAGTTTTATTACGTATGAGTAAATATTATACACAATTGTCTTCTACCGAGTTTGTTAAAATATGTAAACAACAATATAGAGAAAATGATGTGCAGCTTGCAAAAATTGATGAATTTGAAAAAACTTATACGCCTTCGAGATCGATATGGTATTACACAAAGGAATTATTTCTTTATCGAATTCTTAATCTTGCTCTACGTAAACAAGACATGGATACTCTTTTCACATACACATTTTTTATTCGTGATCTATATCAACAACTATTAGCAGAAAAAAATTTTGATGAACCTATTTTACGTGTATATCGTGGACAAGCTATTGATGTTGAAGAAATTGATAAACTAATTACAAGTCAAAATCAATACATATCATTTAACAATTTTCTTTCTACTTCGAGAGATAGAGATACAGCTCTAGGATTTGCGTTATCAGCTGATGTAACCGAAAATCGGCAATCTGTCCTCTTTGAAATTGAAGCTAACACTCATTTGAACAATGCTAAACCATTTGCTGATATATCACGTTTAAGTTGTTTTCAAAATGAAGAAGAAGTGCTTTTTATGTTAGGATCAGTATTTCAATTAACAAATATCAATTATAATGAACAACAGCAAGTATGGTTAATTAAGTTAGTTTTATGTGATGAAGACGATGATCAATTAAAAGACGTTTTTGATTCGATGAAAGAAGATATAGAAGATGAAACGGATTTTATGTCACTAGGTGATATATTACAACAAATGGGTGAATTAGATAAAGCTGAACATTATTATTACCGTCGATTAGACCAAGTAGAAGACAATAATCCAAACATTTCAAGATGCTATTATGGTCTTGGAAATATTGCTTTAAAAAGAGCAGACTATGATACATCCTTGAATAATTTTAATAAAGCAATTGATCTTGAATTAAAATCATCCTCGGTTGATTATTGTTGGATTGGTGATGCCTATAACGGACTTGGTATTGTGTATAGACACAAACAAAATGCTGATCTAGCCTTGGAAAATTATTATAAAGCATTAGAAGCCAAATTTAAAGATGGCTGTCATGATTATCTTTCAACCGCAATGATTTATAACAATATTGGTATTATACATAATACGAAAGATGAATATGACTTAGCATTAAAATCACATAATGAATGTTTACGAATTAAAATGAAATTACTTCCTGATTTACATCCGAGTATGGCACCAACATTAAATAATATTGGAAATGTTTATAGTCGTAAGCAAGAATTTGATCAAGCATTAGTACAATATCAAAAAGTGTTAAAGATACAATTAGTATCTCTTCCAACGAATCATCCACAAGTAGCTAATACATACAATAACATTGGAGAAGTATATAAACATACAAAACAGTATGATTTAGCTGCCAAACATTATCTTACAGCATTAGAAATTTATGAAAAATCATTTCCGTCGAATTATCCAGAAATTATACGTACTAAAAATAATATTCGTGATTTATATGACAAGTTAACATCTATTTGAAAAATAAAATTCAAACGAATAATATATAAAATAATAATCATGGTAAGAGAAGGATTATAGGTGGAAATAAATGAAGTGATTGCACAGATAGGGTCACCTTTTGCATATACATACTGCCCTAAAATTTTACGAAAAAGTCCTAGAATCGTGGAGAAACAAACCCAAATAAAAATTGGACTTCCTTTTTCAAATATGTAGGCCTAAGAACTATGTTAAGCGTTAATAGGTGAAATATAGATAGTATAGGATCAAATACTATCTATAGCTAAAATCATATGTGTAGATCTGACTCTGCACAAGAGCAGAAGAATCTTGTACAAGAAAATGTATGAAAAACGCCTAACGAGGGACGGTCCCCAGGTGTTTCCCTGGGATTTCAAAGCAATGTACCCCACTTCACTAATTTAAGGATGCTGATTACGAATCTGAAAACCATTTGTGCTCTCGTTCAGTCCTTCAAGAGTTATACGCATTTTATTTTAATAGTAGCGAAAAGTATCATATTCTGAAAAAATCACAGCTTTTCATAGAAACGTTCAATAGAGCTGAGAGATATGCCATTCTGCAGATAAACACCTTAGCTATAAAATGATACGTGTTTTAGCTTGGTTGTCACCACGACTGCCATGATGCAACAGAATGAAATGTTGTGGTAATATATGGCAAATTTTTCTAAACATTTTCAAAAAGAAGCATAAAACAAGTGGAAAATGTGCAACGTTTTAAAATTTCTTTTACTTAACAATCAAACGTTCTCTGAAGCTAAAACACATATCATTTTATAGCTAAGGTGTTTATTTGTAGAATGGCATAGCTCTATTGAATATTTCTATGAAAAGCTGTGATTTTTTCAAAATATGATACTTTTCGCTATTATTAAAATAAAATGTTTATCACTCTTGAAGGCTTGAACGAGAGCACAAATGGTTTTCAGATTCGTAATCAGCATCCTTAAATTAGTAAAGTGGGGTACATTGCTTTGAAATCCCAAGGAAACACCTAGGGACCTTCCCTCGTAAGATTGTTAACTTTTCCTACAAACAAAAGGAATTGCCTAATTCAAATATCATCTTATAGGACAGTTGGTCTGCTATTAAAATAGGGTAAACTCGTCGATCTGCTTTTGGAATCTAACAGACTTTCTGCGAATTTCAAAGTTTCAAAGACATTTCGACAAATGCAAAAAATTCCAATGGAATTTGTGAAATTTTAGAAATTATTTTGGAATGTCGACAGCTTTGGCGAAGTTAGAAAATTTTATAGGAATTGTGACAATGCCATTGAAATTCTAACATCATCAAAAGTAATATCATGGCTTAATTAATTTAAAAAGCCAATGTATGTCATTAACTTCTATTTTTTCCTTTATCATTCATTTCCGGTATTAATCCCCCTCTGCTGTATCATATCATCGGTTGGTTTTAGTTCTATTACTGTTTTCTTCTTAACATTGTTCTTTGTTATTTATTCTATATTTTTCTTTTTTATGGCTTATAAATATTCTTTTTCTCCATCACTTCGTTAAAGTAGAGAATTTTGTCAAAATTCCACTACGTCCTTCGACAACAATGTATACAATAATCACGAATCACTAGGCGTCATTAACAGCATAAGCCAAATTTTTCCTATGATACTATTATTTTTTGGCGAAATAATTGTCAAAATTCCGAATATTTTCGGAACTTCACCAACGCTGTCGAAATTCTAAAATAATTTCTAAAATTTTACAAATTCCATGGAATTTCTGGCAGATCGACAAGTTTACCTTATTTTACATATGAGAATTTAACATCGTTCCTAGGCCGATATATTTGAAAAACAAAATCCAGTTTTTGTTTAGGATTGCTCTTACATATTTTTAGGCCTTATTCGAAAAACCTCATAATTCCACCAGGAAGCAACTCCTAGTCAGAAAATTTGGGGCGATCTCTTTTCGCGTGTGTTGCTTTTATCCTATCCATACATATTTGGATGTTTTTTGAATAACTCGAAAACAGAAAGAGCTAGAAAGATGCGGCTTTCACCAAACGAAAGAAGAGCTTATGCAGCACCTTTTTGCAAGCAAAAAGTTCTTGGATACCGTTTAAAGACAGGGTTTTGAAAAACTCCTGCATAAATCGAAAATTTAATATAGTAAACTGTTGATATTTTTTCATTAGTAGATAGAAAAAAGTGTTCAAACGTGAAATGGTTCATTTGCTTTGTATTTTCAGTTTGATATAATTCATCGTCAGGGCCTGCAAATGCTTCGCCAATATGACGATCTTTTGATGTTGATAGAAAGACTTTGTTCAGTACCACAGTTCCAACGTCATATCGATTCAAATCATCGATGTTTATTTTCATTCCACGATAGATTTTTCTTTTATATATAAACGAATTTAAAGCAGCATCATTATAAAGAATTTTACTAAAATTTTCTTCTATACCATTCCATTTTCCATATGGATTAAAACCATTTGCTATTGAATCAAGATTGAGTTGTTTATATAAATCAGTTAGCTAAAACTTTTAAAAATCTTCGAGAAAAATTCGATATGAGATCTATTTAAAATACACATATTTTTACGATTCTTTACAATCCATTACGATTAATGGATCATATGAATCTGGGTAAGTTCGTAATTCGACAGAAACACTTGTCGATAGCGTGTTTCGACACTATCGAATTTCCAGCGAAAAATCCGAGTGTCGAAAGCTGTTTGTCGAAAAGTAGAACTGTCGAACGGCGACTTAACCTAAATCTGTGTGCGATATGTCGAAAGGAAGCAATAGCGAGCTGTGAGTGATGTCTGAAAACGGTAACACTGGATTTGTTGACAAAGCATAAACTGTGTGCATCTCATGAAGTAAGACGCAATATACTTAATAATAAGTAAAGTGCTGGGGTTGGCCGGCTAACCCTTGAATCAGATTCTAATTAATAATGCAGCAGTTTTAAATATTATTTTGTTGATTTCATATTATTTCGACCTTATACAATCATTTTCAAGTGACAAAAAACTAACTGTACAGAAGATAGAACTATCTCTTTACTATCTATCCTCTTCTTTCTATCTCATGACCTAAAACGTCACAGAACTGAAAGAAGAATTTCAACATTTTTCATACATATGCGGATATATATACAAAAAGATAGTAGAGGTAGTTCTATCTTCTTTACAGTTAGTTTTTTGTCACTTGAAAATGACCGGATAAAGTCGAATATAAACAAAATGAAATTTAAAACTGGTGCATTATTAATTAAAATTTTGATTGGACAATCGTTGCCTTCAGAACATATTTTGAATCAGATGGTGAAAGGTAATCTTTTTTCTCGAGTCAGCTTAAATATGCGTTATCGGACGCAGCTTTTTAAACTAATCACGAATATCAACTTTTTTATTAACGAAACTTTGATTTCGAATTTTAAACTTTGAATTAATTTTTCGGGATTTTTGATTTGAATTTCCTGATCTACTTATTTTCGTTCTAAAATTTTAAAAACTGTGCTACTGTATAGAGAATTCAATTCTCTACAAAACGTACTATTTATTTTGAAGTTTGAACATAGGCTAAAAGTACGGTTTATTGTGAGTTTTTAACTATCGGGAAAAAGATGATGAAACCTTCTGAACTGGTGAAAGTACAAAAAATGATGAAATTTACGACATCGTCACGGCATGTATTTTTTCTTTTCCTGGCATTCTGAAGCTGAAACAAGCAAACGAAATAGAGATTCCGGAAGCTCAGAGGTGTTTCTATAATTTTCCATTCAAGACTTCTTCTGAGAAATGCGTCAGTTTGAAGCAATTTTTGAAATATGAGAAACCCTGTTTTGACTATAACTTTGAATCAACGTAACCAATCAAGTTGAAACTTCCAGAGCTCAGAGTACTAGTAGAGTTACTCTTGAAAAAGCATTTTCAATCTAATCTATTAAGTGGTTCGAAAGATAAAGGTCGTGAAAGAGGAAAAAATGTCACTCCGTCACGCTGGGCCAAGCCGTGCTCGCATTCTTAAGAGTGAGCACCTACATCCGAACAGCGAGCTCTTAATAGAACATCATCAACGATTACAAACTGCTTCCTCATGTGGTAATATGCTGGAATTGATGAACAACTTGTTAACTCTTCAATACATTATCGCAAAATCGACTTTTATACGCCGAACAGAATCGATTCAACGTTTTTTTCTGAATAACTTTTGGAATGAATGTACGGGCATCAAAGTATCTCTTTATTCAAATTACGTTTCGCATTTTGGCGCGAATTGTGGCGCGATTGTTAATTCGTGCCCAAATGCAAAACGTAATTTGAATAAAGAGATACTTTGATGCCCGTACATTCATTCCAAAAGTTATTTAGAAAAAACCTTAAACCGATTCTGTTCGGCGTACAAAAAGTCGATTTTGCGATAATGATGAGATTAAAAAGAAGTTTCTTTCCCGAAATAGGGCTTTTTGAAGAGAGCATAGCTGACGATCATGTAAACATTTATGTAAAGAAACAAGATCGTGTTTTGTTGTTTAAGTGATCATGATACCATCAGCGTTTTGGTATAAAAGTGCTCGAATGAGTAAAAAAGTAGGAAACAATTCACGCATATAAAGAATAAAAGGCATGCAATCAGTCAATAAACATCATTTAGTGGAATAAGCCAAACCCATCGCACAGTCATTGACAGCCTAGGAGATCTTGTAAAATGCACATAAAAGGCTACCAGCAATCAGTGTGTCATCATTAAATACACTGACAATCACGAAACAGAACAAAATGCCATAGAACGCGCCGAAAATGAAGAAAAAACAGAAATCGACAATTTTTGCTTTATAAACGTATTGATAAGGTCATCATCGAATATCACAGCAGTAAAATGAAGAAACGTTAGAGATCAAGGATGAGTGACACGTTTTCAAAAACCGATAGAACTTTTTTTCTCCTAGGAGCTGATAAATTAGAAAGACGACTTCTGTTCTTAATATATAAACATTGAGAAGCACATAAAAATCCTAAGCAAATTCTCAACACCAGTAATCTAGGCAATTTCTTTGATTTGTTTTACAGCATTTTTTGCCGAGAGTTTATGTAGAGACCTTCAAAGAACAAAGTAAACATATAAACAGAGTAATTACTTCATAGTTTATTTATGAGTGGTTAATTAGTTTTTCTCTTTTAATTTATTTTATTATGCTTTCTAGGACTACGGTCTAGTGAAGTAAAGTAGAGCTTTGCTGTATCAATTGATAAAAAAACAGGTGCCATTCAAATCGAAAATTAATCAAAAGCTAATGTAAAATAGATTTCATAGTAATGGAACGTATACATGATAGTGAATTTCAACGTTCGAAATGTTTTCTTGTTTGACATGACACGTCGTCTATTTTGGTACTTTTGTAGAATTTGCAATCGGAAGACGAGCCATACCGCCTATAATAGAGAAATAAACAGAGATAAGATAAAATCGGGTGAAAAACATTCAATCATCACGTACTTACCAGGACCTATTCGTTTTGTGACGATTATGTCCGTCGAAATCCAGTTTTGCTGCTCGAGTGTTTTGCATGCATATGTGCCTGAATCTTGTTTAGTGAGATTCTTGATTTGTAAACTATTGTGGTTATTGATCACATATTTCTTTCGGTTAACAGGTAGCAGTTTGCCGTTTTTTGTCCATGCGTTTTTCGTTCTTTTTTTTGAGTTTGCACCGCATGGGATTGTGTGGTCTTGACCTTCAATTTGTGTTCCTGAACCTAAATAAATGTTTGCGATTTGTTTTACAAAATGATCGACAAATTTTAAGTTTTATGACAAGTTTCTATAACAAGCTGTCTCCTCTAGCTTAACCCTTTTTTTTCATTCATACCTGATCCTTTCGGTTTGACATCAACGTTGAATGTCCACGTCATTGGTTTCGGTGCTCGTTGACATTTGTACGATCCTGAATCTGCAGGAGTAAGATTTTTGATTGTCACACCCTTCGGCGTAAATACATATTTTTGAGTGTTCGTTGGTAACGGTTTACCATTTTTCATGATAGCCTTTGTCACGGCTTGAACATTTACGTCCGAACAAGAAAAATCCCAGCTATCACCTTCAAGTAGTATATTCTGAATGGCCGCTGAACAAAGAGAAAAAAATTCAATATTATTCTGCACATTAGAATAGACTTGTGACTTACCATCATTGTAATTTAGGAATAAAATTGATGTCAGTAAAAACTGGGAAAGTAGATATGGATGCATAGTTTTCGATTTCAGTGGTAGGTTTAGGTCTATGAAGATTTTATACACAAACAGAAGTGATTGCTCAGTATAATCAGTTCTCTAGAAAAAAAAGATATTCAGGATCCGTTCGTTGAGTATGTCTATGAGAAATTCAGTAATCATTTTCATCTTTCCGAATATGTCCACTTTTCCACCTCCGATACCTAACCGTTTTTATTGTCAAAATATACTGAACTGAAAAACTAGAAAACTTTTAAAAATAAATTTTTTATCTGGTAACATTTAGCTTAACAAGTTATTTCTGGCTAAAGAGAATCTTAAGTTCTACAAAATGAGTTTATTTCTAATGATTGCATCGTTTTCTTAACAGAAGTTTATAAAACTTAAACCAAAAATTTGGTTTTCTATCTCAAAACATTGTGGTTTTTAGTACTGTGTCTGAATTATTCGAGCAAAATTGCTTTAACAATGAAAATGTTTTATTTTTCAGTGAACTGTTGCACAGCTTAAATTTTCCTGTTTTTTTTACTTAAAAAAAGCAATGCATACTTATTTTCAAAATAATACATGATAAGAATTAAAATCAAATTTTTTATGTTATTTTTCTGATAAATAACACTAATAGAACTTATGAGATTAAGGTAGTGGTCATTTGTATTAAATATTCACCCGAAACATGGCAAAAAGTCAGATTGTCATTAGAGTTTTTAAGCACAGTATCTGACGACGATGAAGTCCAGAAGTTAATAACTGACAGAGAAATGATCGCAAAGCAGCTGATATTCACAGATACAGATGAATGTTCAGAATATTTACTCTCCCATTGTTCAAATTGACCTGCTCATCTTCAGTGGATGATCCCTTGCCTTAGATTTTTACAATAGATGCAAATGGACATAATGCTTGCAAACAGTTTAAAAAGCGGGTTAGTGAGCATATGTACAATATAAATTCTCTGCGAACTTAAGTACAAGATAGCGTTCATCTTCGATTCACTTGACCCTTGACTGAAAGTCCTCTATTACGAAGAGCTGAATCAGCAAAGGGAACTGGATAGCTCTGGGCTTCCTTCTGTCGGCTCACGCGCTAAAAAACTTCCAGTATTCTTCAGTTTGTTCACTTCTGGAAGGCTATCGACCATCTTGTCTTAGATTCTGCACTTGGATGCTACCGGTATTACACACGGCAAGCACCCCAAAAATACATAAAAAATACTGATTATTCCTCTTCAATTGTCCGAATAAGTGGTTTTATGTCATGATGAATTACCATGATCGATTAAAACTAACCTAGTTCGACAAGAGATAATTGAATAAAACAAGCGCAGCGAGTTCCGAGGAAAAATTGTTGTCTTAGAAGGAGAATACCAACTATTTATTTTGTCTTTATTTCCTTATTTTTTTAAATTATGCCTACAATTTAAGTGTTTTCCATCAGAAACATCTTCTAAATACAGTACTTCATCTGAATAACCACGAATTCTGTGGTTTTAGAGCATTCCACATCTACCGCATATATTTCATAAAATAAAACCTTTCTTTCTTTGTTTTATCTTTATTTTTAAAAAATAAACGATCAATTTTTATATTTATTTTCTAAAATTACAGTAAATTAACACCCCTAGTGCAAAGTGTGCACAAGGTCGTACTCGTATTTGTTGTTTCGAAGATGTATTAAATATGAACAGTTAAACTACGTATTCTTTCTCAAAGTTCTCAGATATTAAAGAATCTTCAATTATATTAATATATTTACGGTCTTCAGTAAGTCTTTCGGTCGTATCTCACGAGAGAACGTTTTTCGGTGAATTCTTCCGATTTCGTTCGTTCATATGTCGATTGATAGAGGGTATCGAGCTAGTAAAAAGCCTAAAAGAATTCGAGCCCGTGACTCTTGAAGACCCGGCTTTCTGGAAAACCAGTTTTTCAGAAACTCTAAAAAAAACTAAAACACTTTCCTAATGAGACGTGATTGCAGCTCGCAAATTTCTGATTAAAATGAGACGTCTCTTAGCTCTACACGATCTTTCTTTGCAAAATTATAGAATTTACAAGAGAAGGCCTAAATGCTTATTATTGCAAGCTACAGAAATAAGAAATTAATTTAGGGCTTTTTTTGCAAATTCTATCACAGTGGGCATCCAGGCGGAAGTTAGGCAAAAAGTCGAAGTTTCTCGTTTTCAAAAAATAAATAGTGCAAAATGTAGCCCTTCAAATTCTCTATCGAATGGTGTCTATTTTGATATCGACTCTTTTGAGGAAAAATTAGGG